AGGGCAGGAACCCGTTTCTGCAGAAATGTTACAATAAAACCTTTTTCCTTGGATCACCTTTGAATCCTGGTGGTTTTTCTTAGCCACAATCTCACAATTTGGGGGCTCGTCCGGGATCCTCGACGGCGGTTGACTGGAAAGCGGGGACCAGGTAAGAGAGTGGCCACAACCTCCCATTGAGAGGCACCTCCCCGAATTCGGTCAGACTCCCGAGGTGACTGGGAAATCCAGACGATCCTTGGAAAAAGAACTGAGAAGAAATGCCGGCTGAGAGTGTGTGAGATTGATCTGAGTTGGGGACGCCCATACATCCTTTGACTGACTGCGGAAAGTCCAGGAGTGATCAGATCAGGTAAACTTTGTTTCCTTTCATTTGTAGCCAAAAGAGAGAGGTCCTTAAACTCCCTGGGGGAATCCAGCGTCTGCTGGAGGACTAGGACTAGGAGTCTGGAAGAAAGAGGGGTCCTTAAACTCTCTGGGAGAATCCAGCGTCTGCTGGAGGACAGGACTGGTGAGTCAAGGCTCTGGGAGTCTGAAAGAGTAGAAGATGGGGAAGGGACAGAGCAAGGGTCTGGGAGACCAGGAAGAAGCCTGTCTGGGACAGGGAAAATCTGACAATGGCAGAAAATCAATTCCGGTAGATTCGCCTTTGGGACAGCTACTCCAGCAGTGGTTTTCCCCGAATTTAAAGGAATTCACCAGACATCTCGAAAAGAAAAACATGATTTATCTTTGTCGAGATCGATGGCCAAAATACTCTTTGATTGATCCTAAATTCCCATATCACTGGAGTCCTGAGGGGGAAACCAGTAGCTATTGGATGACCAAATTGCGGGACTATATTCTCCAATACAAAATGACTACTCAAATTGCATACATAGATATATGGTTTCATGTGAAATTTGAAGGTCCCGTCCCTCCAATTGAGGGTCAATACATGTCACAACAAAAAGACAATGAGAGTGAGACGGATGATTGGCTGCAGAATCCGCCGCCCGCAAATCCTAATTTGAATAACGCGCCCGCCAATGTTCCTATGGCACCACCGCCATTGCCGGTGGCACAACCCCCTCCTCAGCTGCCCCTTTACCCGCGGCTGAGAAAAGAAGTAGAAGAATTAAAGAGAAGTGTTCAGGATTTTCCATTCAGAGAAAAACCTGAAGTGGATGCATTTCCTCTTAGGGAAGTCCCTAATGGGGTCAATGCTGCAGGCAACCCGGTGACAGTCTTTGTGGCTGTCCCCATAAAACCAGCCGAGTTGCGAGAATTAAAAAAGACTCTTCCAAAACTTCATGAAAATGCTTATGATGTGGTTGAACAATTAGATCTATGGATGGGTCCGAATGATTACACTTATCAGGAGATGATGTACATTTTGGGACATTTGTTCACTCCTGAGGAGAGGAATCTCATTCAGACCTCGGCATGGAGAGCCTGGAGCACCAGACACAATGGGCAACAAGGGGTGGAGGCAGGAGATTGAAAATTCCCAATAGCCGATCCAAATTGGGATCCAAACACTGCAGCTGGCAGAGCAAGTATGAGGGATATGAGAGAACTGATCATGGAGGGGATAAAATTGGCAGTCCCACAAGGGAAAAATTTAACTAAAGCCTTTGAAGTAAGTCAAGGCAAAGATGAATCCCCTGGAGATTATTGTACCAGGCTCCGAGAAAGTCTGGCCAAGTACTCAGGGGTAGATCCCAGCACGCCTGCTTTTGAATCCATGCTGAAAATGCAGTTCGTGACCGGGGCTTGGCCAGATATCCAAAAGAAAATTCAGAAAATGGATAATTGGGGAGCAGTGGGAATTGTTGATCTCCTGAAAGCAGCCCAACAAGTTTTTGTGAACAGAGACGTTGTAAAAACCAGACAGAAGTCACAAATGATGGTTGCAGCTGTACAGGCTGCAGCAAAGAATGAGGTGAAAAAAGGTGGGAATTTTGGGAAAGGTCCAACTGGAGAAAGGAGAGAGAATTTTGGGGGATACAATCAGGGAAGTTTTCAGGGTAGAGGAAGAGGTTCTAGAGGAGGGGGCATGGGAATGAGACAACCTGGAATGGATAGGAGTTGCTTCAGGTGTGGGAAGGAAGGTCACTTTGCGCGCGAGTGTCCTACCAACCGGGAGGAAAGGAGTTATGCATTGTATTATGATTAGGGGTGTTCCAGCTCCTTTAAGAGGACCTGCGGGGAGCCATTGGTAAACATTTAAGTGGGTCCTAACCGTCAGGAGCGGCTGTTCCTGATAGATACTGGCGCAAGCCGGACTTCTGTGTGTGATCCAATAGAAGGTGCACATAAATCCAAGAAAGCGATAAAGGTGGTTGGGGTGAGTGGAAAATCACAGGATGTGAGTGTGTTTGAACAAATCAGACTGGAGATGAATGAAGTGGTGACAGAAGCGGAAGTGTTGTATATTCCTGATTCTGGAGTAAATTTATTGGGAAGAGATTTGTTGCCTGTGTTTGGTATCCAGCTGTGGGATACCGGGAAGGGAGTAAGGATGTGGAAGATGACTGTGGAAGATGAGAGAACAATTTCAGATGAGGTCTGGGCAGGAGGGGAGAAGCCCAGTGATCTTGGGATGAATCCCTCCCAAAGACAAATGGTTTACTGTGATAGATCTGAAGGATGCCTTCTGGGCATGCCCCCTTGAGGAGGGAAGTAGAGACCTGTTTGCATTTGAATGGGATGATCCTGAGAGTGGAAGAAAACAGCAGTTTCCTTTGTTGTTTGGACAGGCTTTGAAAAGTTAGTGTCTTTTGAGAAAAGGAAGGGGATTATGTTGATTCAATATGTGGATGATTTGTTGCTGACTGGAGAGAAAGAGGGGGAGGTTAGAGCGGCATCCGTGGCTTTGCTAAATTGGCTGAAGGAGCAAGGATTGACAGTTTCAAGGGAAAAAATCCAGTTTGTGGAAAAGAAGGTGAAATATTTAGGGCATTATATTCAGCAGGGGGTGAGGTCCTTGGATCCTGAAAGGGTGAAAGGGATCATGAGCCTGGCTCCCCCCAGAAATAAGACAGAAGTCAGGAAAGCGCTTGGATTGTTGGGGTATTGCAGAGCTTGGGTGGATCAATACACTGTGTTAGCTCAATTTTTGCACAGGAAGCTGGTAGGAGAAGGAGAGAGTATAGAATGGTTAAAGGGAGATGATGAGAGATGGGAGGTTTTGAAGAAGGCATTGTCATCCGCACCGGTTTTGGCTTTGCCCAATTTGAAGCTCCCATTTCATCTGTATGTGTCAGCAGCACAGGGAACGGCACTAGGAGTATTGGCACAGAAGAGGGGGGGCAATACCAGCCCATCGCCTTTCTGAGCAAAACTCTGGAGCCGGTGGTGAGAGGATGGCCAGTGTGTGTGTAAGCTGTGGCTGCTACAGCTATGTTGGTAGTAGAGAGCAGGAAGTTAACCTTGGAGGGGGGGGGGGCTTGTTGTGCATTCACCCCACCAGGTTACTTCTGTGCTAAGTCAGTTGGCAACAACTTGGATGACAGAAGGGCGGATTCTCAAATATGAAACCATTTTGAGAACCAGCCCAGATGTGGTGATTGGGACAGATAGGAATTTGAATCCAGCAGAATTCCTAGAAGGGAGAAGACAGGAGTGGGAAGCTGAGGACCATGATTGTTTATTGCAAGTAGATTTGATGACAAAGGTAAGGGAGGATCTGGAAGAGACTCCTTTGAAGGAAGGGGAAAGGTGGTTTGTTGATGGATCAAGCAGGGTTGAGGAAGGAAAGAGGAAATGCGAGTTGTTTACTTTGAAGAGGGCTCTGGAGTTAGCTGAAGGAATTGATGTGACAATCTGGACTGATTCCAAATACGCCTGGGGTGTGAAGCACCCCAAAGGTAGTTGGGAACAGGTAGGCAGACAAGTGGGCAAAAGAAGCTACAGGGGAGATAGAGCTGGTGATGGTATCAATTCCCTTGCTAGAAGTGGAAGAGGATGAGGAATGGAAACCTGAGGGAAAAGAGAAAGATGATTTGGAAAGAGAAGGGTGTACATTAACTGAGGATGGGTGGAGAACCTCAGAGGGGGTGAGGGTGGTCTCTGTGAATGCAATGAGGGGAATTCTGGAAAAGGTACATGAGGGAGGGCGACCTCTAGTGGGCTGGCCTTTCCAAAGAGCACAAATTGATTTCACTGAATTACCAGAGAAGGGGGGGTTGGAAATACTTGCTTGTGAACTTATCTTTGGCACTGCTCAGTATCAGAACATGTCCAAGGAAAGACACTGGAGTCTCTCCATTCGAGATGCTACTGGGGCGACCCTACTTGGCGAAAATAGGGAATCCAATTCCTGAATTTAAAGATTTGTTTTTGAGAAAATAATTGCAGGTACTGTCCAGGTTTTTTGCTTTTTCTGTATAAACAGAGACGGTTGGTGCAACGACCACCTCTTGCTGGGAGCCAACATCCCTTTGAGACTGGAGATTGGGTTCTGACAAAGACTTGGAAAGGCGAGAAGCTGCAGCCTAGCTGGGAAGGCCCGTACCAGGTGCTGTTGACAACTGAATCTGCAGTTTGCACTCGGGAAGGAGGCTGGACGCATTACAGCAGAGTCAAGAAGGCACCGGAACCTGAGAAACCTTGGAGGGCAGTTCCAGTGGATGGTCAGCCGCTGAAGCTCACTTTGAAAAGATGAAGAAGTCTGAACCCTGGACTGAGCTAATTGTCTTTATTCTAGGACTAGGACTAGGAACTTCCTGGGGAAGCGAGGATTCACATCAACCCCAGAATGTTACTTGGGTTGTACTTGATTCCCATTCAGATATACTTAATTGGACTAGCGGAAAGAGGCCTCCCAATACTTGGTTTCCAGAACTGCAATTTGATTTGGGAAGGGTCCTCTTGTCCACCACCGATGACACGTTCATAAAGAAACATCATTTTTACGTCTGCCCTGGACATAAAACTGAAAGAAGCTACAAAAAGACTTGTGGAGGGGCTGATCAGTTTTATTGTGCAGCCTGGAGTTGTGTGTCTACGGGACACATCTGATGGGACCCTCTGTTCAAAGGTGATCTGATACAGATCATTCTGGGATAGTACAGGACTCCATGAAAAAACTGAGGGAAGGACTGAACCAAAGAAAAAGAGAAAGGGATGACCACCCTAATCTCCACTCTAATAGGATCCTTAATTTTGTTATTATTAAACTTCACCTTTGGTCCATGTATCTTGAACAAATTAATGTGAGTTTGAGTCAAAGATGGAACAAGAACAGGGGGGATTGTGGGAAGTGTATTCATTTTATGACTCAAAGCTCATGATGAAAAAGGGATGTTTCCTTTTGAAGTGAGAAAAGGCAGTATCAAGCACTGATTAGAACTGATCTTGGAATGTTTTTGAAGTGCTGGGAACTATCACACATTTTGGAATGCTTTTGAAATGCTAGATACCGGATAAAGAAGTGTCTGTTACGAGCTAGGTACCATGAAAGATAATAAAATGTAACTTGTATCCTGAAAGATAGGTTGTAAATCAAGCCAT